CAATGTGCATATAAAATTATTTAAGTCACACATGCATATTATTTCGTTTAAAATTTAATTTAACTTATTTGCAATTTAAATTATAACACGCTTCCAATTTATCCTCAGCAATGCAGAAACTTGCGTCAATCAAAAGCAGAATTCACGATTTTATATCATAACGCGTATACGTGAATTGAAGTGGAGTTGGGCCTTTTCCTATTTTTCTATTTACGTATTTTCATCGAGTTCTCCCCTAAGGTTAGCTAACTTAGTGGGGACATAAATTAAATTAATTTTTTCTCCAAACGTCAGAAAAACGTCACTTTGTTAACCCCTGTCAAGATGTCAGAAATTTGATTTCTATGCTGCTAGGCAAAGCCAGCGGGTTAACACCTGTCGAGGTGGTAGAAATTTAATTTCTATGCTGCTTGGCAACCCCAGCGGCAGCAAATAGCTATTTATACAATAAGTTACGAAATGAGCGTCTTTTAGGCACGCGACGTGAAAATTGTCCAACGAGGCAAAGCCGAGTTGGACAACACGTCGAGTGACTAAAAGACATCGTTTCGTAACGTATTGTATACAAGATTTTTTCTACTGGCATTTTATAATAAAAAAACACAATTTTATTTCATGTGAATAAGTCGATTACACCCAAAATCTTTGTTACCTGCTTTTACTTGACACCTGACACTTTTCATGCGATTTTCTTTTCAAAATTCGCCATCAATAATTAAAATCCTAGAAAGTAGGTAATAACACAAACTTCTGTTTTGAGTAACCCAAACGTTCAATTCAGTAATTCCATTTTCAATATTCATAATAAATACAAAACAAAATTCAAATATGTGTTTAGTGTGATTTTTATTTCTGAATAATGAATGACACTTTTAGGCACTAGTGCTTAAAAATTACTTTTACGCACTCATAAGTCACTTTTACGCATTCAAAAGTCACTTTTACGCACTGAGTGCCTAAAAGTAACTTTCACGCACTCAGTGCCTAAAAGAATGTCGTTTCAAAACTGAAATGACAATCGAAAAGTTGCTATTATGAAACGTCAGTAGAAAAAGTACTTTTAGTGCCGCTGGAGCGGCAGTAGAAGTACTTTTAGTGCCGCTCGTACTTGTGCTGCCGCTCAACCATCCACTTGCCCCCAAGCTTACCCCATTCGTTTGGAGAAAAAATAGCGTGTTGCATACGGAGTAGAAGCACTTTTTTGTGCTTCAGCAGTATTGCAAGCCTCACTACGTTCGGCTCGCAAACCTACCGCTTCAGCACAAAAAAGTAAAGCTTCTACTCCTAATACAACATTATACTATTTTCTCCAAACGTCAAAAAAACGTCACTTTGTTAACCCTTGTCAAGATGTCAGAAATTTAATTTCTATGCTGGTAGGCAAATCCAGCAGGTTAACACCTGTCAAGGTGGTAGAAATTTAATTTCTATGCTGCTAGGCAACCCCAGCGGCAGTAGAAGTACTTTTAGTGAGGCTGGAGCGGCAGCAAAAGTACTTTTAGTGCCGCTTGTACTTTTACTGCCACTCAACCATTCAGTCACCCCCGAGCTCATCCCATTTGTTTGGAGAAAAAATAGCGTGTTGTATACGGAGTAGAAGCTTCTACTCCTAATACAACAATATACTATAATCCCAATTTTGGGTACCTACCTATACTTTTTTTTTGGTTGTTTTTGTTTTTTTTTTTATCCGTACTCCCCGTTTTGCTGTCGTATCCCCGTGATTGGCTAGAATATACTATCAAGGTTAAATTTCATTCTCGAAAATTCTAGTCATTAGGGATTTATCAGTGAGTCAAAAACCTTTATAATACTGTTTTTGATTATTCAGAGATGGAATCAGTGACAAAACAGTCTAAAGAAAAATGTGCGGTTATGTCAATAAACTGTGCGGTATCCAATCCTGACCAAAACTAACTGCATTTCCAAAGTTGACCAAGAGCCCTATAAATGATTTTACAACAAAATTATTTTGTTCAAATTCTTTGTTAGTATTATTCTATATTTTTAATTGTAAAGTTCTGAAGAAGGAGCAAATAGCTCCGAAAGCTAAGTGCCCAATTTCCTCGAAATCATTTTCCAACAGACATCCATGAAAAAAACTTCGAAATATTCCAGTGATTTTTTAGTCAAAAATGATTGTCCATACATCTCAATATCTAGCAACTGTGACAAAATTGAGATGTTATGTATTGATATTTTGGCAGCGTGAATAATTCTGTCACATCTTAAAATTTCGTGGTAAATTATGCTGAAAAGTAAATTTGATCTGAAGCAGTAAATAACAGTTTTCTGAACCGGAGGCAATCTGAACGGAATCTTCTTTCTTCTCTTCTTGGAGAGGTTATTGAAAGGTGTTAATAGAGACTCAAAATTAGTACCACTAACTACTTTTCTGCTGAAGCTTGAAACACCTTATCTAACCGCGCAAACCGGCACGTAAAATCTTTCTACACCACCATCAGTGTTTTAATGGGAATTTTAAAACCAGAAAAAAAAGACTAATTTTGAAAGATTAAAATTAAATTATTTAAGAGTGAAAAGAAAAGTTAATTATTTAAAGATAAAAAAAAGGTAAGGTAAAATATATAAAAAAAAACAACTAAAATACCTTATTTAATTAATAGACCATCAACAATTTTTAAGTGAAGAAAAATTAAAGACAATTGAGAGAAAAGAGAATAATTTCCCAACTAAAAGATTTAGTTCAAAATCTGAGACTTCATTGGAAATTGAAATTAAAAAAAAAAATAACTATCACCTCTTTGAAGAGCTTTCACTAAAACACCGGGGCGGCAGATGAACTAGCGGATGAGGAACGGATCGAGAACTCGTTGAGACTTTGCGACTTAATTTTCCGGCGATTATTCGTGGTAAAATCTAGTGGCGAATTGGCGATAACTGAAGTTATGTGGCCTCTACATCTGCTTAAATAAGCGAAAGGAACTGGCTCCTCTCAGTACCGGGCTTGCGAGATTCGAGGATCTCCACCCTCTAATGAACTAAAATCTCTACTAATATAATAATAAAATAATTGAGTAATCACTCCTATCTTAATCTATCTATATCTTAATTATAACTAAGCATTTGACTATAGTAACAACCCTTGATAATATATTATTATTATACAATTGGTTATTGCATCTTAAAAATCCAGCTTATGTAATTATTGTTCCGCTACACACACATATGCTTCGAATATAATATATCATTATTTGCAATGCTATCGGTTACTTGACATCTGGGTTCGTTATAAAACGTGGGTCAGAGATTATTCTTGACTTTGAATAAATTATTACAACCACATGGGTCTGGTTCAGTCGAGAGATTAGTTTAAAGTTTTAGTCACATTTTAGCTATCTATAAAAATAAAACTTTTCCCACGAATAATGAATTTGAACCGAGAATATAAATTTGTTATTGATTTTGTTACACATCCCCAATATTAGTTATGATTATCAATGATAATAGTCAAGCCTTGAATTGGTTCGGATAAATCCGATATGTGGATGAATGCATATATTTCCTGGATTGTGATGAGTCTTCTAATTTTAACTTATCAAATAAAATTAACCAAATACTTTACCATTAAAATTGAAAAAGCCAAGCAGATTCATTTTCTCGACATTAATTGTGAGTATTTCCTGATTGTTTGGAATACTCTACCCTAATATTATAGGAAACCAACACAGATAGATTACCATATTTCAAAAACTTCATTTTCAGCACCAAATAGCAACCTTCAATTCCTATGTTAATATGTTGTTGGTTCATAGACTGTCACGTTTTTTTCTAAATTAAATTAGGATGCTTGATTATTTTTTAGTTGATTAAAGGGAAATAGTGTTGTAATTAAAAAAATAAATTCAAAATGAGAGAAAAAAAAGTAATAATAATAAAAGTAATAAAAAGAAATTTCAAGTTGTTGGGCCTACCCTAACTTGGAATGTATTGATTAACTATTTAAAACCGAAAAGTGGGGCGGGTTGCTATAGGCGCCACTGGTAGGATCCTAAGAAACAATGGCAAAAACTCAATACTAAAATAAAGAAAAATAGTTGAAAACACCACCTATATAATATACTTACTTTCCCAAAACAATAGATAAGAAATAAATAAATAAAAATAAAATCCCGAATTAAAAATTTACTGGCCTGGTTTCAGAATATTTTTATCCGCTGATCAACTCTTTTCTCCAGTATGTCCCCGCACTTGTGCTGAAGTGACTTGCTTCATCAGAATTATTTTATTTTTATTGTGAATATTCCAAAATATTTGGTTCATGAATTTTTCCCCTTTTTGAAATACCTCTTCACATTTTTTCAGCACTATACTTTTGTATTTTGCAATTTATCGTGCAGCTTTTGCAACTCTTAAACTTTTATTTTGAATGTGAAAATTTCCAAGCTGTTTCCTTTTCCTGGAAAATGTCATTATGAAATATTACAGCAGCGTGGAGCTAATTCTAATGTTTCGTTTACCTATAAAAAGAATAAATAAGGAAAGGGGTTTCACTTTTTATATTTACTTAAAAAACGATCATATAATAGTTGGTAAATAAATTAAGAAAAATGTTTTCAAAGTCTCACACCATTCACTCGATTCATTGTTTTAATGACATTCTAAAGTGTTACCCTAAAGTGATTCATCTAAATTTTCGAAACTTTACAATCTGTTAAAACAAAAGTTGGCCTAACTTTCATGCCACAAGTCGGCTCTTGCCTTTCTCATAATATTATCTGCAGCCTTTGGTAAGCGACATGCAATATTCCGTGGATTTGGCCTTTAAAATAAATATGAAAACTTTTAGAGTTTCTAGCTTTGAAATAGAATGGAAAATATTTTTTGGCTGAAAGCCAAAATGTCTTCTAGGAACGGAATGTGAAAATAATTTTATCGCAGAAACATTGAAAAATCAATGCTATATTAAATATTCATTTATGTGCATCAAGTGCCAATTTGGATTTTATGCAATCGCTAAAAAAATATTTTTCTTTCAGGCAAATTGTGTTATATGTACCCCCATGAGCACATATCCAGACTTGGTAACTCCAAACCAGCACCTTACCGCCGTCAGTGGTTTTTTTAGGAATTTTGTTTCGAGCATAGAATTTTTGTTGTATGCTGGTTGCAATAGACCTTCTCCGCAAGAATACGAACATAATGGATTTTCTACAAAGGGACAAAATCTATGGAAGCCATGGTATCATATCTATTCAAATTGTAAAATTACGAAGGGAGAACATTTTCCAATGTATAACCCCGCAGGTAAATATTTGAATTATTGTTGGCAGTTAAGTGTGAGATGAGGATCTTATGGCCAGAAAAATAGACAATCAAATTGTTGGCAAATTAAACATAAAAACAAAATCGTGCGTCCTAGCGATTCTTCATCAATTCAACTGTTTTTTAAACTCTTAAATACCACCCTTTATGGGAAATTTTATACCTTATTGCAATATTCGCTGTAATCTTCAGTATTTAAACTGCTTTTGCGCGGAGTTAATATGTAGTCGGTTCAATATTTATTCCTAGCAATAAACAAAAATAAAACTTGGAATTTTCAGGTGCCCAAGTTTTCAGCCGCTCTGTTTATTTCAAATGTTTTACCATTCATCTACTGACCCGTACTGCAATATCCGACTATCCTCGGACGTTTTTGAATTCCGGAATATCAAATTCCTATTTCAATATAGACAAGTCCATAGGAAAAGGAACAAAGGAGTCCGAGGCTCGTCCGTATTTTTATTCATCTTTCCTTTGACAGTTTCCGGAAAAAAAGACGACCTTTGTAGTATGTAGCCGGATAAAAGCTGTTCAATAAACTCCCAGCCGCTACGCCTGTTGAATTTTCAATTTGCTTTCAGACCTGCGAAAAAGGGCACATTTAAAAGTCAATCTGGTGACTTTTTTATTTAATTTTTTATCCTGAATTCGGGGCTGGGGCCTGAAAAGCCTAAGTTGCTTTTAGGAGAGGTAGTTGTTAAACAAAAACTTCAGGCTTTCAAATTATTCATAAATACCTTTACCGGTACCTACAATAATAATAATGGAAGCATGTGCTGTTTGAGCTCGACACAACTTTTTAATCATCATTGTTTTGGTTGAAGTCAGGATAGAAAGGCCAAAGGATCAAAAGTTAGTTTTAAATTTCATTCTCGCCTTGCAGTCCCACAGCCCAAATTACCGGATGGCTTTTTGACCGTGTTTAATTCTCTGGCTTAAACCCAAGACCACATAGCGGTGACACGTTTCAAAACTTCGAATGCATTTAATAAGTAGGTAGCCATCCTTTCAAATAAATTGTCTTTGTCTCAAGACAAAATGCCTCAAAAATATCTAGGAACAAAGGGGCCTAGGGATTCTGATAAAGAAGAACCAAAAATAATCGTAAAATCACTGTAGATACCTGACGTATCCAATTTAGGATCACGGAATTTCCAACAGACTTGTAAATGACGCTGTAGCTGTTTTTATTATTAGGGAATAACTGATCCTTTAAAAACGATATTTGTTGATCTCCTTGTGAATTTTCATAATTTTGTGTGGTAAGACACATGTCTTTTTGTTATAATCTCTTAGGACTTTTTCAACTTATTGGACAGTTTAAAAGGCTTCTCCTGTTCCGTTTCTAATTTTAAACTAGGGGTTGTAGATCGATGTCATTAACTCATACCATGTTTTTGAGTTAGGCCCCCCCTCTCTCTCTGTGTATTGTGATCAGAGCTCATGCCGTATGCTTTGACTTTCTTCGATTTCGATTCAATATACGTAAGAAAGCTCAAATAAAACCAGCAGTGTGTGGCAATCACGCTGCAGACTCATGTTTCTTTCATTCACTTTAAGAAAGTTAGAATAAACTATGAAAGTTTTTGGGGAGTTTCAAAATGATTATTTATACTTTGTGAATAAAATTGTTTCGCATTAAAATACAATGATTTTTGCTTTGAATAACACAAAATAAGGCATCGGTCCGATACCACTTGTCTTTTTCTACCTACTAAATAATTGGTCCGATACATCTTTGCGAATTGGATTTCTGACCTTTTTGCTTTCTCCTAGCTCTTAATAACTAGTCTCTATAGTAAACTTTACATTGAAATGGTATGTAGTCAGCCTCTAAATTCCATACGGCCAACTCGGGCCAAACGGGACAGATTAGGGTAAATTGAGCCTTCCGGTAGGGAATTGAATATGGTAATTTCAGCTGTATGTGTCCTTAAGAATACTATATGAGGTTTTGGAAAGTCAATATATGAGAAGGTTTTGTTTTTTTTCGGAATAGTAATTAAGTATAAAGAATTCATTTCATAGGAAAATACGTGGTGCGTCTGTTTTGGATGGGCACTTGGCGAAAAATTTACGTAGACGATCTTGTTCCTGTTGACCCGTTTAATATTATATTACTCCCAACTCTAGCTGTACCAAGATTAACAGTCGAGCATAGCTTAGAGGATCTTAGCGCTGTAGGCAAGCCATCAGCCAAAGTCAAAATAAAAGAAAGTAAGGCCTTTTTCTTTATATAATGTAGCCAAGATAATTATTATTCCAATTCACTTTACAGAAAACGTACTAAGGAAAATTTCCATTGAAATATGGCCAATAATTATAAGCAAGGCCCTTTTAAAAATTGCAAGCTTAAGCTCACCATCGGATGATTTTGATATAATTAGTTGCCTAACTGGATGGATGCCACAAAGTCTTAAAACAAAAGGCTGGTAACCCTATAATACGTAAATCAATCAGTATTTGTAAATTATTTAATTCCTTGGCAGATATTCCCGCCGGATGCTTGTGGGATGTATTTATGGCCTACGTTAAGCGCTTCGAGTGGGACAATGGCGCAGCGGGACAAACGAAAAAGTTGGAAAACCCTAAACCTAAATCAAAAGTTGAAGTTGACACGCCCTTTACAGGGTCTAAAGCGGCTAATCCCTTAGGAATGAAGGCTTTGCCAAACAGGGAGCGTTTTGTTGCACTTTCTTGCGTCAATAAGTGAGAATTCATCATGCATTTAAAACAATTTATTATGATACACGTTTCATAATTTTGTAGTTTAACACAAGATGATGAAAATTCAACCAATACATTTGTTTTTTTAAGCGAAGTCAGAGACATTCCCTTGATTAAACCTTCTCCTTCTCCAGGTAACATTGGGTAATTTTTCTGCTTAAAATATCCAATTGACACTGATTCATCTTCTAGAACTAGAATTTTGGAAAAAGTTCCGATACGAAAAATGGGCAGTTGAACAAGGTCTCATTTCTCCAGATATGAAAAAACTTGACATAAAATCTCTCAGAATCGTGAATCCTTTCGCTGCCAAGAGAAGTACAGCCATTGATAACTTTTCGATTTATGATGGTAAGTATTTCCCAGTTAAGAAGGCGGAAATTTGCTTTAAATACTTTTAGATAAAAAATCCGAGAGAAGTTTGAGAACGACCAAATCCTCCAAAGCTACCACAAAAGCTGCCCTTCTGGAACCAGATCCATCCGAATGGATCGATTTTGTCGATATAGAAAATTGCATAACAAATATTGTCGTTTACTTTCAACCAAGTTCCTTCATATCAAAAACAAAAATATCCGACATATTATTTTCATTCAAGACAACGGATTTTTCTCAAATCGTTTCACATTATGCGCCTAAGCAAACAAAGAACGACCCTCTTTTCTTGTTCACGGATTCTATTGACAATACATTTTTGCTGATCAATTTAGCGCAAATGGGAGACGTGGAAATGTTGGAGAGAATACCAAAAGGTGATCACGAAGTCATCAAGTTTTTAAATAAATTTTAATAATTCTAGATGAAAAATCGTTATCGGAAAGTATCGAGTCGGAAACTCTTGATATATGTGAAGAAATCTTACTTAAAAAAACGTTTGTAAAAGAAGCGTCAAGTTCAGAACTATCGGTTCAACAGGAAGAGCGTGCAAATTTTTCCAGCAAAAATCATTCAATTAATGTGGTATTAGAAGAATATGATTGGGAAAGCAATAGCGTGGGGATATTTATAAAATCGATTAATACTTTGGGATCAGAAAGTGTAATTATGGAGTTGAAACCAGGAAGATATTCTTTTAGGTAAGTAATTCAATCGCTCTACGAAATTCAACATATACCGGCCTTCTGGACAATTGAATAAATACTACTTCTGATAAAGCCATGAGGAATTTCAATCTTTCCGGTATGGCCTCATTTTAAACTCAGTTGTTAGTTAATAGCGCATTGGCTACGTTCACCAGAACCAAAACGTATTGTGAACAGTTCACAAATACCAACAGAATATGTTGGGTAAACTCTTGGTTCTGCTGAACGATTCAACTTTTCAATGATAGAACGTCACCTTCTGAATGACAGGTCACCACACAAAACACAGTGTTGAAAATTATAAACACTCTGAAATTATGCTTGTAAAAATGGCGACCGTTTGCAAAATATGTTTGGTTTTAACACAAATTCAACGTAGCGTTCAGCAGAATAATCGCAAACCGTTTAGCAACGTTTGTATCTGGTGAACGCGGCCATTGGCCGCGTTGTTTATTAGATAGATAAATATATGAAAGTTTAACTGGTCGCCACTGTTGAATTTTTTATTTTTTTTTCGGAAGCTTGTCTCCATAATATAGGTATACCATCTACGTCAGCAACATTGCGACGATGAGAATGCTGATGCCATTATCTGCGAAAGAGTGACGTAGGATTTTATTCCATATTGTTTCCTCTGTTAAGTTGGTTCGTCTCAGGTTCGTATGATCGAATTGCTGGATAATTGGGATTAACTGATGTTGACTTCTGTGGCTTTGCAAGTTACTAGTGGACTAGCTTCTAGCCTTTTTAGTATAAGACTTTTTGCCTTCTATTTAAGATATGGACTTGGAGAGTATTTCATAATACTTCAGCACTATACTATGGCTTCTTTAATGCGATGGCATGAAACAGCTTTTGGTGCTGATAACGCTGTTCTCCCGTTACCCAACATAAAGATTTGTTGAGCTCATCTATTGCATCTAAAGGGCATTTCAATATTTCTTCCACCATTTTTCTTATTACTGATTCCCTTTTTCCGTTGACTAGATTTGAGTAATGTATTTTTCTTATATTTCTTGTACTTGAGCTAAACTCTTCATCTTGTTCATTCCGGCGTCTGATTAGTAGTTTCTAGCTTTTGTAGCGCTATGAATTTCGTCTTTCATGGCCTTCGAAACGTTGTGGAGTCGCCTTTGAATAATTCTCTTGGCTTCTTGAGCTCTGGGGAGTGAATTTGTACTCTTCTGTGGATTAGCTTTGGATTAATTTTCCTGGGTTCGGAAGCACCGTGGAATACTATTCGCTCTTCGTGACTTCTAAGGCGCTCTGACCTGTGAACTCGGTTTGGATTAGTTCACATGGCTTCTGGAGCGGTGTGGTCTCGCTTTGGTTAAGTTCTTCCAGCGTCTGGGATGCTGCGGGGTTGTTTTAGAATAATTTCTGAACCGATCTGAAGTTAACTTAGATCCTTTTGGCTTCTGGCCCGGAATGCTTTCGCGGTGCATTGCTTTTACTGGCTTCTGGAGCAATGTGGAGTAGCTTTAGACCCACCTGGCTACTAAGGCGTTTTAAAGTCGCTCTTAAAACAGGTCAAATAAGTCGCTAAATTTTCAGCCATCAGGCAAGTTTCCAAGTCTCTAAAAATACCAGCCATTTTGCAGGTTTCACAATTTCGCTATTTAAGAACCCTCTAACAACACAGAACAAATGTCACCATATCTTCATAAAACACTTCCTATTCAAGCCGACTATGTCAGGGGTTATCGTTCTCAATCGGCACTATTGATACTAGTTTGCCAATTTTTAACGGTTTCTTTTTCGGGCTATGTGGCTGATAAACCTACAAACGCGTCATCAATTTTAAACTATAAACAGGCCCTGGAGCCTCCTAATTTCATTCAATCTGGTGACAAAATTCTGGTGCAAAAACGTTGTTCGGTGCCACCTAACAAGACGTTAAGTCTTGGTGACAACGTTTTGGTGTAAATTCGTTGTTTTGTTCACCCTATCAATACGGCTTAGGCAAGATTTCAATCCCACAATACCTTATTAATTTTCTCTCTGCCCTGCACCTAATTACTTCATACTTTATTAGTCATACCGTTTTCTGCAACGTTTCATTAATCTATGATTCCTGCCTCGATTGTCACAACTTTATCCTGTTATGACGTAGCGTAGGGTCAGAAGGATAGAGACGCGCTTGGTATTTAGTTTAAGGTATATTGTAGAGTGAAGGTTATAATAGTAATTAGCAAAAGATGGCCCTAGGATACATACTGCCTCTTCTATAAGGGCACAGGGGAGCTACCTGAAAACTACAAAGCGACGTTAGGAGCGAATCCAGTAAAGGGCCGTCCAAAGAAGCTTTCCCAAAAGAGGTAATTGCACTGGATGGAGACTTGAGGCCAGAGGAGCTTTCCCAAAAGAGGTATTTGCGCTGGTTCAAGTCTGCCTATTCGTGTGTTGCCGATCACTATTTACATTCGTTTATCGCTAACTCGCCAATAAATAAGTCGGTCAATCATATACAGTGTCATATATTCCTGATATATAATATATAGCTTTGCTTGTTGACAATATCTATAGACTGGGATTCTAACAATATTTCACACCCAGCTTATTCCGGTTCTACGTTACAACCCTGAGGTCGAGGATATTCCTTTATTCAATTTTGTACCTCTTTTAACTTATACTATTCTCATTCCAGAATTAATTCTTAACTATTAAATTAATCACTATGTATCTAGCTCTGTAATATATTTCTTGTATTCCTTTCATTATTTCTTAAATCATTCGACTACGTGTAAAATTGCATCACTATTCTTTGTTTTCTATAACTACCTGAAATAAATGTCTCGGTATATTATGCTTAGTACGAAACAGAATTATATTGATCAGCAATAACTCCTCTCGAGCTGGTTACAAGGCGTTAGTCAAACTATTCTATATCTAGTCAGTTCTCAGTGGGATCGCAGTGAGTAAATCTCTAGTGGCACGCTACCGTATGTATTTCTGACCCTACACTAGCTCTCAAAACAGTCTCTCTTACCCAACAGTCACAATCAGGTCACGCTTCTAACATCGCTTAAAAATAATACCTATCTTCTGGACCGTTATGGAGTAAAAATGGGCGCTATTGGCTTCTGGGACGGTGTGGCGTACAACTGGACACTGGTACCCAATCTCCTAAAAAAAAAGATCAGAGCTGGTGCGGCTAAGGCCAAAGCCAGGAGGCTCAGGCTCGGGACACCATCCATGAGCCAGGGCTCTGGCGAAGGCTCAACTATCACCTTGTTACAGGGGGGGACCCAAGAAACCGGGACAAAACGTCTCAGATCTGAGGGCAGCACCCCTGGATCGAAGGGGGATTCGGAGCAGGTGAAGAGACCCAGGGCTTCTGGGGTAAAACCAGGAGGTCCGGGGATGACTATATATAGTGCCGCAACATCTGCTGGACTCAGGGTAACCTTAGTGCCGGATACGTATTCGACCACTATGGTCGATAAGCCACGGAGCAAAAAGATCATGGCGGCATTAAACACCGTCATAGATCAGATGGGGGGAGACCGCTTCCCTCGATTCGAAAAGTTTCGCTGGGATCTGCAGGGGGCCATTATGGTTGGTTGCGGGGACCAGTAAACTCTAGAGTGGTTGGAGGGGGTCATCTCCGCGATAAGGCCCTGGAAGAAAGCATCGCTGCGTGTGATGCGATACATTCCTAGGGTTGTCAAGATGGTAATCCATAGTAATCCACGGACTTCCAGACGACACCAACCTCAAGCGTCTCAGTAGACAGAATCGCGGGGGTCTCCCTTGTCACTTTCGGAACGAGCGCAAAGGCTCCAGCTGCGCCCGTAAAAGTGACGGCTCCAGCCGAAAAAGGAAGTAGCAATACTCCATCCTCGGAAAAAACTTCACCGCCCAATCCAGCCCCGGAAAAGCAAGTCGATGGCTCTGAGGAGCTGAAAAAAGAGGTGAGGAAGCTCATGACTCTAGTGGATATAGATGATTCTCCACCGGGGACATGGGCTGGGCCATCCACAACCTGGAACTAGGTTCAATCATTATTTCATACCATGGATAAAGAGACCCTATTTCTTCAAAGCAACTTGCAGCATAGCAAGGGGCGACCTTCTTAATAGATCGTCAAATTGCTATGGGGCAGACACATATATACCTCCTAAAAAAACCTTGGGCATACAATGGTCGTGTAAAAATATTAGGCAGGATGGAAAGATCTCTTTTCTATAGAAAGGACTTCCAACTGAACCCAAGGACTTGCATCTATGTCGACAGACGGATCGAGTCTACTCTAATAGCTTACTTCTGCTCTAGAGACCTAGTAGCGGTGCCTCTAGGATAGACTGGGACAGAGCAGATCGATAGTAGTTTGCTCGGCCTATCTGCCCTATGACTCAACAGATGATCCCCTAACAGGAAAGTTCATCGATTTGGTGGAGTACTGTAACTCACTGGACCTTATGTTGATTGTCGGATGCGATGCCACGCAAACCCGCAGGCTTTTTAACAAGGCCATACGGTCCACTAGCTGACTGGGAACACAAGCAGTCTCAGCGCAGATACAAAGATCTCATAAAAAGGTCCAAAAAAGAATCATGGAGAATGTTCTGCGGAAACGTTAACGAGCTTCCGGCAGCCGCTAAGCTCTAAAAGATTCTCTTAAAAGACCCAGGACGAGAGCTGGGGTCACTAAGGCTTCCCTCAGAGGAGGCACTTGGTTGGCTCCTGGAAACACACTTTCCGGGTTCTGAAATACTGCAAACTGGTGAATCACCAATGCATGCTCCACAAGCTGGCGCGAGGCCAGCTGATAGCTGATAGCTGCAATAGTAGTATCAGAAAACTGGACGCTGGAGAAACTGGTGGACACATTCATCAGGGAAGGGACAATACCCATGCACCCTAATCAACATGCCTACAGGACTGCCATTTCAACTGAGACGGCTCTCCACAGTCTTGTGGCAAGGCTGGAGCGGGGGATGTCAAAGAGATGACTCTGGGTGTATTTCTAGACATCGAAGGGACATTTGATAACACCTCATTCGACTCTATAAAAAATGCAGCAGAAAGCTTTGGCATAGAGAACCCCAATGTCGAATGTATCTGTGTCATGCTGGAAAGTATAATCATTAGAAGCTCGATTAGTACTGCAAAGATCAGCTCAACCGTAGCTAGAGGTTGCTCGCAGGGGAGTATACTATCGCCTCTGCTGTGGTGCCTGGAACTGGATGGGCAGCTCCGCACTCGGATCGAGGAAGGTATGTATATTCAAGGCTACACAGACTATCTTGTCATTGCTGTGACTGGTAGGGTACCCAGTACCATTGAAGGGATCATGCAAAGAGCTCTCAACATGGTAGAAAGATGGTGGAAAAATCACGGGCTTTCGGTAGATCCGGACAAGACCAAGGTAGTACCATTTACAAAGGGAGAGACCTGTGGCAAGAATTAGTCTTGCACTGGATCGATACCCAACCGTATACCAGACAGGCATTTACTCAGGAGAATCTCCAGAGAGGTTACTCGGGCAATCCTATTTATATATACACCGACAGCCAGGCAGCACTCCGAGCCCTTGGCTCAGGCAAGGTCAACTCGAGGCTCACGTTTGACTGTATAACTACCCTTAAACTACTCAGTGGGCTCAACAAGGTCCCCCTTGTTTGGGTTGCGGGTCACAGGGTCATACAAGGAAACGAGGAGGTAGACCAACTGGTCGTGAAAGTAGCAAGACCGCCTTTATTGGGCCCGAGCCTACTCTTGGGGTTGCTTCCTGCCTGGTGAAAGCCAAGGTTATGAACCGGTCCAAGAACCAGTTTCAAGACGAATTACTGGAACAGGAAGGCCTAAGACAATCAAGGATCTTTATACAGGGTCTTTCAAACTGCAAAGAGGCAAAATGCCTCCTAAAACTAAACAAGAGCCAACTGAGAGCCATAACAGGCGTCGTGATGGGATACTGGGTGGTTTAATACTACCTACACAAAATCGGACTCAGCAATGAGAGGGAATGTAGGCTTAGTAGTTGCGGGCAATTGAGGTAAGACAGGGCTGCACCAATAGGGGGATAGCACAATGGACCACATGCGCATCTACGTGCTGCCTGTAAAGGCCCCCCTTTCAAATCAATCTACCAATCAATCACTACTGGACGCTTCTTGAACGCTATGTACTCGCTTTGGATTACTGCGGCTGGCGGCTGGAGGACCGATAATGAAAAGAAGTTCTTTCTATGATACGTTCTGTTTTGTAAGGGTGTGGAATCAGAAAATATAAATTTCGAACTGATTTTATTTACTAAGGTATTTGGTTCTCTGTGATTCGTTTTTACATATCTGATCAGTGATCACTGTCTAGAGGTTTCTGAGTCCTTCCATTTGAGTTTTTCATTACTTACCATTAATTTTCTCAATACTTTACTTTCTTTCTCTGATACAACTAACCTCTCGATTTTTGTCCAGTTAGCATTTGTGGTAAAAGTTTTAATTTAATTTCCCAATAACATTCTACTTTGATAAATATCGATTATTCTGATCTTGAAAATGAGAAGCGGATCGAGGATCGTGTCAATATTCCTCAAATATTTATTAATAATTATTTTCATTCAAATGGATGACAATGATACACAATTAACAGCGTTTTCAACTTAATTTGAAAAGTCTCAATATACAGCAAACATTTCGAAATACATAATTCGAAAACATTTTAACACGTATAGTTTGCGATCTTTTTTGTCGACATTCCATAGAACGTTGAGAATCCATTTGCTCTCAGTTTTTGCTACAAATGGAAACGTTGATATCGTATGAATGTTGGCCGTAGCTTAAGGTTTTCCGAATACCTCTAGTTCAAAAAGCTAAGTTATGCGTAATTTTTGATACAACTTGATAGAATATGGCTCACATCTCATTGTCCTTACGTTTTGCAAATATTTGCTGACAAACCACTCACTATCGGTTCTCTGGAAGATTACCTGATAGCATGTTCAAAAGAATCTCTACGATTAACTAATTTGTGTCAAGAATTATCTAGTAGCTATGGTAAGCCGGAAAATAAATTAAATTAACATATATCTAATTTTTCTGTTTTCTTAGGTAAATTAGTCCAATCTTTTGGAACACCAGACCACTCACAATGCTTAAAAAACTTGTACGGCTGCTACAGACCTCAGCAACCATTGACCAAAAAGGAACTAGCTATAACGCACAAGATATTCTTTGAAGAATTTTGCAAAATTGCCACAAACAGCCAAGATGTTGTCAAAGCAGTTGAGCTCTTGTTTTTACAATTAAAAACTTTCGATTACATCAATCCCTATGTGGACGAGCCGCACTTGGATCCCCAGAAGTTTGAGTTGTCTGCTCAAATCGAATATGCTGAAAAAATGCAAAGTGCTGCAGTAATAATTCAAGCATTTTTCAAACAAATTTATGTTAGAGCAATGCTAAGGAAATTTGATAAAAGTCATAAAGATAATTCTGGTAAAAAAAAAATAACAATTAATATTCAAAGATAACTCAAATTTACTAACTCTTCTAAATTTTGTAGCTATTTTCGGATACTTAAAAAAAAATTACGAAGATATTTTCTCTGGTGATAAACATGTAACATGTCTAAATTTATTTAGAAAAATCTTCGACCGATCTGAACTGATTTCTTTTAGAAATAAATTTGATATTTTCCAAGATACAAAATCCGTTCTGGATCTTCAAATATTTAATGGCGTCTTAGTCACCCATGAATTGACATGGATTTCAATATGTCGCTATGACTTTAGTATAAATTTTGATGAACCAATTCTGCTGAAAATTACTCTTTTCTCAAATTTGAAAACTCAATTTGTCAGGGTGTTTAATAATGATAATAAAAATGAGGTAAACCAATTATTCGATAATGTACTAGTGGAAAAATATTCTCCTAATAATAATGGCTATACTGTTGTGGCCTATGGATTTCCTCCTGATGGTATGAATGTTGATAAAATAAATTGGCAGTTAGTTTTTGCAACTAAAAAAATATACCGAGAAGATGTATTGATAACAAACACAACATTGACAACGCTATCTTTGAGAGATCAATATATACCGAATTTTAACAATATTATATGTCGTTATAATGTAAAAGTTGGAACCGATGCTTATTTAACAGCAAACTTGACTACATCTCGTAGTGATGTGAAAATCTGCTTGAGAATATTGGACAAAAATGAAAAAAAGATTCGCGAATTATGTGGAATAAAAAATGTGGTATTTCCCCTAGTGGAACTGAAATTTTCGGAACCACAGCCAAATGAAGGTGTTCGAGGTAAAAATGTATTTGTATATTTTTTGCTGTAACGTATATGTATTTTAAGAACTCGTGGATAATTCTAAAATATCTTCTGGTGATGCCGATACTGGGAAGGCCTCCAAACGTCTAAAAAAAAATCGATCCAGTGACAGTGTAGATGATATCAATGCGACTAAGCATGGTAAGAGTAAAAATTGTCAAGGAGCCTTTTGTTCATGTAATGGCAACAAAGACATGCATAAATTAGCTTTCCCAAACTCTCAAGCGGGACCAGGGGTTTTGTAATCGATCACCAATAAATTGCTTATAACCAAGCACCCAGCTATAATTTTGACAGCTAAAACTGTCATTTTTCAATAAATGAAGAATTTGCTCACATATCCTCATTCCAAACTTTGTTGCAATATACCAAGCGGTTGAAAAGTTAGAGGGGGGCGACGGACTTTATGTCCTCACTGTAGAGCAAAAAATCGTTTGACTTAGTGGTGAAAAATTGGTTTATTTCGCGATCAGAGCAAATATATTTTGTTGGGGTCTCACCACAGGTAAAATATCAGCCTATTATATTTTTGATTTTTTCTTTCAGATTCAGAACTGAAACTTTCTGCTAGAAAAAGTCACATGAAGGCGGCTTCAAAGTAAATTTAAAAATTATTTTAGTTTTCATTATTGTTAGTCGCATATTATTTTATAGAGCATCTTTATTGGGGAGATCAAGCAAAAATTCCAGCAAAGCTTCTCATAATACGATCAGAGAATTTGCTCATACGCTTTATATCTTGGAGGCTAGAGTGGTCAGTTAAGAGCCCTGTACTTAATAGCTAGGATAAGATTTTAAAATACCAACGTTTCTAATCAGGTTGACGACAGTTGGCCACTTACAGCAGACGAATGGAATCGTGTTCAAAATGCGAGAGTGAAAAATTATGTAAATTATGTTGCTGGGTAAGAATCTAGTTATCTATATTGAAATGTCACCAATCAGTAAGCGGCAATTTTCGCAACTGTAAAGTTTTGTATTTACAGTCATCAAGTGTCTCATCACATTTTCCTCCTTCCCATTCTCAACAAGTACATCTGGTCGACTAACAAATTGCAAAATTGATATCTATTTGAGATTTTTTGGTCTATTTTTTTTCAGTCGCTCTCAAAAAAAGCTCAAGAAATCATTATCTCTCACTATAGAAGAACCATACTGGAAATTAGATTTAGTATACCCAGCGAGTAGTGTAATAGAATTTAAACAAGACGTAACTGAAAAAGAACAGAGAAAGGCTATGAAAATGGAATGGTTCGAGGATCCGGAGAGATACACACGGGGTACTGATTTGAGGTAATATAGATCATAATAAAATATTACAATTTGTATAGTTATCTGAGAAATACTTTTTCAACGGACTATTGAAAGATAATAAATATCAAGGTTATTTTCACAAATGTTACATTCAAAAATAAAAGTATAAATAAATAGCTTCATCAGACAAAAAAAAATAATAATTTCCAATACAAACTGTATAGACCGCTCGTAAATTGTGAAACTGATTTCTGCTCTCTGCTATTTGTTCCAGTTATGTATGATACATCTCATGCGGTGCGTGTGCAAGAATCTTTCTGGTTCATCGGTCATTCTATCAACATGTTCGGTGCAGTTCCATTTTGACATTTTTATCCTGATAGTATCAGCGACAATAGTTCTTCTGCTCATTTCTGCAAGAATACACTGATCGATGGCTTTCCTTTTCAAACATTTTAGTAGGTCAATCTTATTCCACAAGCTGCTCAAGTCAACTCTATCCTCCTTTAAAGCTTTTCCAGTTTGATTATCTCGACTCAGTCGACTCACACAATTTCTTGTGCTAGATGTTCATCATTCAGAGGAACTTTGCTAATTACTCACAAATTGGGTTTTCGGGATTTATTTTCAGTCCGACTTTTCTAGATGCTACCGGAAAACTTTCCAGTATCTTCTGGTGATCTATTATTTTTTATTTCTGACATGATTTTGAATATTCTCAGATTCAACATTTCAAACTTCCGGTATCCGCCATGTATTAGATCTATCTATCCCTTTTATATACACTCCTCCTTAAAATTCATCAAAAATTTTGAAGATTTATCATTTCAGATTTAACAGCGAGTCCATTTGCGATGATGCCCCTTCCTAAAGAAAGAGTTATCAGCGTGAAGTCTATGATACAAGAGAAAATCCAAAAGCATATCTCCTCTGTGGTTTCCTTCTCCATGTCCAGAATCTCTTATGGCAAATTCTGCGTCGTCCTCTCTGTATCCAAGCTTGTCGATGAAATGATGAGATCTCCCATGACGATCATAAAGTGTTTCTTGTCTCGCTCTCTAGCCACTTGTAACATGCTAAATGTTACTTTTTTTTTTTTCACATATACATTTTATAAGCTAAATTATTACCTTTATTGTTGACGAGAAAATTTTGGATTAATTTTCTTTGCTTTTCCATCCATAGACGCGTTTCGACCTATCAGGTCTCATCAGTATGGCTAGGATGGCGCCACGATCAAATTTCGACCGTCTTACTACTTTTATTGTTGACAGTTTGGCGACTGGTATTAACCTTCGTTTTCCCGGGTACATTTGTAACCCCAGAAAACAATTTTTCTAGCATATTTTTCCAAAAAGCGCATATTTTTTGTGATTAATTTTATTTTGTCAGTAAGAGCTTTGCGCATAATTAGTGATCATCAAAAATTTTCTATTTATTTTTTTTTTAGAAATAATAATTTTTGCATAGCGTGGGGCACATGTACCCACTGTAGTACTCCACGTGGGAAACTATGGCTACTCCATCAAGTAGTCACCTTGCAGGAAATTTGCAGGTTAGAAATAGATTTCCAACCTGCAAAATTTAGAAATCACGATAATAAAGTTAATCAAGAAGTATCTGTGAAGCAGGCAGAGAACGAAAGTTTACGGGAAGTAGAAGGCGGAAAAATGATTTATAAATCGAAAGATGGCATGCATTGGTCGAAAATACCATTTCCTAACTATTTTTTTTTTTTTTTCGCTAACTGTACTCTACAGGGTGCTCCGAAACTATTGTGCCAAAAGTTGAGGAATGATAGAACTCGTCAAAATAAACGTTTTTTACTTATAAACCTATAGGCGCATGCGCTTTGGTTAGGTAATAATAGCACATTACAGTCCGCACTGTGGTAGCCACCTTGCACACGGAGAAACGTGTTTGAATAAGCAGAACCTGTGTTATTAAATAATACAGAACCCAGAGAATGCTTGCAGTATTCATTTAAAATAATGATTCACATCAAAAGATGCTCAAAACTACGACCACCCGCCTCAATGCATGTGTAACAGCGTTTTAGTAGAAATATCAAGTAGATTTGTGCAGGAAACCCTTCCCAAAACTGTTTCCCTGTATGCCAGACAAAACATAGGGTACCAGCACGACAGACCACCACCACATTTCTTGTTAGCCTTAAGGGAACATCTCAACGAAACATCTGGAAAGACTGGAAAGAGTGATTGTTAAGGGGGCATAGATTCCACGTTCACCAGACCTGACAAAATGCGATTTTTTTAATGGGGACATAGGAAAGCTCTTGTATACGACACTCCAGTTGAAACAGCTAGAGGAAGTTAGTAGGAAGGATTGTTGCAGCAGCTGCTGAAATTATCGAAACACCATGAATTTTTCAACGTGTTTAGGAGGCTATGCTACGGCGCTGTGACGCACGTATGGAGGTGGGTGGTCGTAGCTTTGAGCATCTTTTGCTGTGAATCATTGTTTTTAGTAAATACTGCAAGCATTCCTTGGGTTTTGCATCATTTAATAACACAGTTTCTGCTTCAAACAGGTTTTTCCGTGTGTAAGGTGGCTACCACAGCGCGACCTGTAATGTTCTATTATCACATAGCCAAAGCGCATGCGCCTATGTGTGTATGAGTAAAAAAACGTTTATTTTGGCGCGATCTATCATCCCTTAATTTTTGACACAGTAGTTTCGGAACACCCGTATAGGTTGATTCCATTATAACTGTTTGATATAAATAAAATCATGTTTAATTATCAAAAGTATTATTTTTATCATGGGGTACGAATGTACCCCACGTGGGAATCTACGTAATTTTTTTTGACGTGGGAAGACGAAGGTTAAAAACAAAGAAGATTTCTGTCGAAAATAATAATAGCAATTATTAAATTAGAGGAAACGATTTTCGTTTAAATTTGACGTGCCAGTTTAGTACCAACGCTTTCAATTGGCTATATATTTTTTTTTTTGAAGAAAGCTCTGCCTGTAGAGATTGTCCGTTTTCTTCGTCCCTTTTTGAATCTCGCCAGCCATCTTCCTCAAATGCGATTACCCTTCTCGTGGAAAAAGTACTTATCGACCGTCAGGCATTATTTTAACGGAATAAAGTTGCATAAGGCAATAATCCATTGATTACCGAAAAAAATTAAATAAAAAGTCTCGTGATTACCGTTTTATTTAAGTTTGAATTTCGAACCCTTTCGTGGTAAGTCCTTTTTTGTTTTTTTTTTTTTTTTTTTTTCAAGCAATGGTTGTTCATGCCTCTATTACTTAGGGTTCTACCGGGGAGCTTTTTTTTCCGGGAAGCCGTTTTTGCGAGGAGTTGTTTTTCTAAAGAAATCTATTTTCCACGAGCCCTAAAGATCACCATTTACGTGCAGCGTAGGCCTAGAGCTCTTGAAATGATTTCCTGGAGGAATCGAGTCCCCCACGTGTCGATACCTGTACCTCCGCATTGGACGAAGAAAACTGAATTTCCAGCTCTCTACTACCTCTATCTACCTTGGTTCTAGGCTAGAACCTGCAACTTCCATTTGCAACTTCCCTCGTCAAGTCAAATAGATGGCTCCCGTACTCTAACGTTTTCGTTGGAATTGAGGCTTGTATAGAGTTTCAATTATTATAACTTTTATTACCTTTTTTTAATGAAATCTATTCTATGACCAATTACCATAATTAATTATGTTTACTTACGTACACATTTAAAATATCTCATTCTTGACACCGAGGTGATGGTGGAATAATTAACTTTTGACTTACCCTATAGTCCGGGAGGCAGCGGCTTTTTTTTCAAAGAATTTCATCACGGCTGAGATTAATACCGTGCATTGTAGTCACATTCCTAATGACGAAACCGACCGTCAGCCAGTCTAGTAGCGGTGGGTGGGCGCGTGGGAGGCCGCGGAACTCGTGAAAAAAAAAGTTTTCTAAAGTTATTTCATCTCAGCTGAAATTGTTTACACACATTATTTATAATAATTAGCAAGAGAAAAAGACCGTCAGCCGTGCGGCAGAGGGGGGATGGTGCGTCAGTCGAGCGCGTGAACTTGAGAAAAAAATATGAATTTCAAATTATTTCATCTCGCTTGAAATTTTTACACATGATTTCGAACATATATAAAAATATAATAATGACCGTCAGCTGCCTGTCTAGTGGGGGTAAGACCGTCAGTCAGGGCGAAAATGTATGAGCGCGCTCATGCAATTATACGACGCACGGAATTTTCTATCGGCTGACTGACGGCTTTTCCCCCAATAGACAATCAGCTGTCGGTTATTATAATATTTTTATTTGTTGAAACTACAATACTTATCAATTTCTAATGAGCTTATTAAGATTTACCCATTATACGTTGTATGTAAAATATAGTATTATACAGGGTGGAATTTTTAAATGGAATAAAATTAGTATCAGAAAGCCTGTTTATTTTCTGGAAAAAAAAACGGGTCCCTTAATTTTTAGTTTGGCACATTTTTTCGGCCTTTGCATTGAATTTACCCCCCTGTTTAGGGTAGAAACCACCCTCAACTTTTTTTTTTCAAATGTAAAGATATGTATTGTGATAACTCGTTGGAATGGGCATAAAAAAAGAAATATGACCCATTATTTACTTTTGCATTTCGGTGATCTAGAAAGCGAAAAAAAAATTAAAACATATTTTTTCTACGAGTGTGCGCAAAGTAACTACTTTGCGCACACTTTTGTGTACGCAAAGAAGCCCTTTCCCAAAAGTGTGCGCAAAATTACTACTTTGCGCACACTATGCGGGAAAAAAAATTACCAATAATAAAATCTGGGGACCCCCTATTTGGTGGGCAAAGCCCTGCGAGAGCCCCACGTTTGGGGGCCGGAGTCTCGTGGGAGCCACTTTCTTGAGGGGCACAGCTTCGCGGGGGCCCCTGTTTAGGGGGCGAAGCCCTGCGAGAACCCTATATTTGGGGGGTGGAGCTCCGCGGAAGCCCCTTCTTTGGGGGCAGAGCCCTGCGGTCCCCCTTTTTTAGGGGGCAAAGTCCCGCGGAGAGAGGCCGAATT